AAGGGCGGTGCCAGTGAGGAACGTGTTGAGATGAGTTTAAAGCGTGAACTTGAAATCATGCTTTCCATCCACCATCCCTCGCTTGTCGACCTAAAAGCTTGGAGCATTGAGCCTACTCGGGCAATCCTTGTCTTGAGCTATTGCCCTGGAGGTGATATGTTTGATATCGCGACCACCCATCGTGGTGTGCTCAAAGAGCCTCTATTGCGAAGAATATTTGCGGAATTGGTTGGTGCGGTGAGCTATCTCCACGAAAGGAGAATCGTTCACCGAGACATCAAACTCGAGAATGTCCTCGTCAACCTCACCCCTTCCGAGCTTGCAGACCCATCGATCGATTGGGCTATCTACCCTTACTCAGTGGTGATTCTGAGTGACCTGGGCCTTTCGAGACGCATCGCTGATGATGAGAAACTCGAAACTCGATGTGGATCAGAAGACTATGCAGCTCCCGAGGTTATCATGGGACAACCTTATGATGGACGAGCTACCGATGCTTGGTCACTCGGTGTTCTTCTGTATGCTCTTCTCGAAGCTCGGCTTCCCTTTGATCCTCACCCAGGTATGAGTGAAGCGCATCGCATGCGCAGTCGCACTAGCCACCGTATCGCGAGAGTCGAATGGAAATGGGTAGAATACTATGGTGATGACACCGACCATGATGGCGACGAAGCCAAGTTCAAGCAAAAGGGTCTCCTCGGTGCTATGGAGATCACAGAAGGATTGCTAAGGCGTGCCAGGGGCCGTTGGACCGTCGATAAGGTGGCCAAGACCCCCTGGGTTCAGGACGCTATCAATGTCGAGGGTGGAATACGTTTCCGCGAAGAGAAGGACGGCGAGGAAGTTTCCTGACATTCACTCGAGCGACTCTAAAGTTACCGAACGTGTCTCAACTTCTTTCAACTTGGACCGGAGGTCTGTTCTCAAATATCGCCCATAACCAACTCGATGCTCTTTTAGCCATCGGTTGCGCTGCCGCCAACACGCCGGTAGCTCCCTTACAACTACATTACAATCTATTGCGCGCCCCTTCTACGAATCTTTATACGACTACATGACGGGACAAAGGGGCACATGGGTAACGGATTGATCAAATCAGGAAGAATGACGGATGGTGTTGGTTCATGGGTATTAGTATGATGCGGTTCGGTTGTGTATTTTTAGCATTTGTTTGTGTTTTTGGCATTTGTTTTTGGCAGTCTTGGTTTGTTTCTGTCTTTTCGACACTCTTTCTTGTTTTATTCTTCGATTACCCACTTTGTTTCCTCGTTTTTACATTAAATCATACCACTCGTAGGCTTTCAGGAGTAGAAAAAGGTTATACCAAAATGGATAGAAAGGTGTTTTTATACTGTATTATGTTCATGCGTCTAGTGAGAAAAGCATCCTTCTCAATTTTGAGAAACTCTGCAACAAGACAATCTTCACTTTTCCCTACACGGATTTTATTACTTAGACTTTTCACTGACTTTGCTTTTACGAGGCATTGAATGTTGTAATGTTCCCCAGAGCCTGGCTGGAGGCCGTTGCTGCGTGATTGTCCAGCTCTCGTAAAAGGCTATTTGTTTGCTTTGTTGCGCCGCAACAACTCTTGTCGTATTCTAAAGCCGTTTCTCGTATTCTTATCAACATCGCCTGATTCCATCGTCATGATTCTGTTATAAGAATTCCGTCATGAAATACAAGCAATCAGCATTCTATTGTCTTCATCATTTTGCCAAAAGAATAATAGTTATGAGAATGAATGGCTGGTAGACTTGACTTTCCAATAAACATGCTTATTCTTCTCCATGCTTCAAAAGGTGATGTGCCGATCTCCTCACAGTTTTATGTTTATTTATCCTATTTACAGCCTCATCCGCACTCATAGGCTAAGTCTAACAACGGTCGACGTTGATAGAGTTACCGACCTATTTGTTGCAAAGGCTGATTTGACTCAAGGTTCGACTACACATCATATCCCAGGTCGTAATGCCACTGATGGCTTCGGGTTGACGCCTCGGTTTCCCGTGACAGAAATATGCTTATATTGACGTCCAACTTCGGTTCGGGGGGTTTCCTCCCCCTCGTTGATGACTGACCGACCGCTTAACACAAGGTCGCATTCGTCTTATCAGCTGGAACCCCTCTGTATCAGCTCAGAGATCTGCAAAGCCTGGCCATTGATCTGGCTATTTTTATCTACTGGGGACGGCTGACAACAAACCATGAAGTCATGAGTCGACTCAATCTAAAAGGAGCTGTCCAATGAACACACAGTTCAATATCAGCACAAGAACTCAGCTCCCCCTTGAATTTCCCCCTTATCACTGTCCTTCGAAAGGAAGAAAAGAAGGACGGATGGAACACGTAGGGGGCACATTAAGCAGGCTAGCTGTAGAGGTTGTCAGACGTGATGCCGCATCCAGCGATATGCACCGACGGGGCCGTCGACTATGTCTCGGAGCATTGAGCTAGAGACGCGGCGGATGCGGACCAGATTACCGTGTGTATGTGGCTTGACCCTACTGTTGATCTCAGTCTTGGCAGCGGCTTGCTCTTCATCAACCTGCTTCAATTGGACCGCTGAGGAGGTCACCGTAAATTTCGTATGGCATCACGGCATCTGGAGTGATATTATGGAGTAAACTGCAGTGAGTGCTTTCAGGGACCCGATGACGAGCTTGCTGGATCGCGCGAGATGGAGTCGCGGCATGATCTCCGTCCTTCAATGTGAGCAGGGGACAGGGGGTGCCGGCATCGAGCAATGCACATGCGAGGCGAGGCAAGGCAAGCATGGGTTTGGCTATGCTGTCTTGGGTCATATCCCCAAGACACTCGGTCACGATACAGACGCTATCATAGCAACCTGAATTAGAGACAAAGACTTGTTCTTCTGATCAGTTGCATTGACGGTCATATCCGTGTCATATTTGAAAGAATATTGCATAAAACAACAAGCAACTCGTTATCTTTGAACGACACTTCAGTTCTTTGAGATAACTCGGCCGCTCTCTCGGCCGAGTCCATGTCGACTTATGGGAGCCGTTGCCGACCAGGGGGCTGTGTGGCATGTCATGGCTCCAGCCAACATGGAACGTTCCATTTTCAGCCCATCCCGACACACTCTCGTAAGCGAACAATCAATCACAGCTAGCCAAATGATTTCTCTCTGAACTTTGCAGTTGTCAAATCATTCAAGAAAGAGGCTTTCAAGGTTGATTTTGCGTTATTCGAGTTTGGTAAGGTGCTGTTGGTCGCTCTCAAAACTTCGGAATTTCCTTCTCTTCGGAACAAATTACGGGAAAACGAACTTAACACAACGCGCCATGTGGACGAGAGGAAGCCTTGAAGGCTCATTTGTAGGCTATCGGCGGGAGCCGGCTTGGCTACAGAGCCAGTAAGAAGCACGGCTCTGGCTCCCCCACAACATTGTGTCTTCCATCAATTTGCAAGATAACCATTGTCCTAGGCCTGTCTCCTCATTTGATTGGAGCAGACCGATTGAAGATCGATAGAGCTCCGTCGCGTCGAAATACTGAGCTTCGCAGCAGAGCCTGTGTCTCGGTACCCTGATTCGCGCTCAAGCAGCAATCCTTCCAGGGTGACAACGTCTGGCAAACTTCGTCACTAGCCACTAATACCGATTCACGGTGTGGCCTCAGAAACAGCAGGTCGAACAGAGCGTGGCGGCGCCACGGCCGAAGCGATCGGTCGCTCAGTAGAGTTTCCAAGTCCAAGTCCAAGTCCCAGGCTTCTCCGAAACCATTCCCATTTCTTCTTGTCGACCGAATGTGCCGTGCCGATCCTGTTGTCACTGTCGCAGCACCTGACAATATCAGGGGAATAGAGTCACGTCTTGTCTCTCGTGGCGCCTTTGATTCAGCCGAGCTGAGAGAGAATACCAAGATAACGAAGCCTTCTGGAATATCTCAGAACTCAATATTCTCAGAGCATAAACACAGGATAATACACTGGAGTGCTCATCCCCTCGGCAGATTTCCCTGTCGGTACGAGCCCCCAGAGCCGTATCGAGTTAATATGATTGGTGCTCCTAAGTTAGGGTGGTGTCTCCGTCTTGTCCACCTTCTGTTTCTGGCAGTATGGTCGCATGCTCTCACAAGCGCACCCCTGAAAGCTTTCATCTCACTGGTTGAGTATCGTCGACCCCAGGGATGGCGTTGTCTTTCTAGTGTAGCCTTATCGGCCCTTCTCTCTCTGTGGTGCTGAATCTCAAATTCATAATTCGTCGTCTTGAGGTCGTTCTCTCCAGTATCACCTCTGCACAGCCCGTCAACTCGAGTCGTTGTCATTGAGAGTCATTGCTGTGTTTTGGCTGTGCCTGAATGCTTTTGACTGCGCTTGGTTTTAACCATAAACCCTCGGAAATGCTGAACCGAGGATATGACTGTTTCCCTCTTATCTCCCTCAAAGAGCCCACTCCAGCCTCCTCTAGACAACATACTGGGTTGCCTGTCTGGGAAACTTTGGCGAGGGAACTTTTGCTGGCGCTCTCTCACGCGCATTACTTGGCGTTCTGGCCGTGGACGCTCCCCGTCTTTTTTCTGGCTCCTATTGCGTTGATGGTCCTATCACAGCACCGCCCATATCTTGTCTAGCTGCTACGTCAAGTCTGGGGAACGATAACGTTAGCAAGCCCTGGCCGTTGCTTTGGTGCGACTCACTGCACTGTCCTACAACGGCAGACCCCAGTCCTGGTAGTGTCCGCTGGGTTGTTGTTCTTGTCTGGTTCTGGCCTGCTCTTGTCTGTACCGTCCGTTCGAGCGCTCTTCCTTATTATTATACGTACCGATAGTCATGGGCATTTCTGCCCGCCTATTCATCCTCCCGTTCTTGAACCTCCATCTGAGCTCTCCCGCTCGCCACATTGACGAGTTATGAATTCTCGCATTGGCGACTGAGGACACAGCCGAGGCCTTCGACTCGCCTCAGTCCGTCATTGACTGCCTTTCAGCCAGCAGACCGGGCCTCTCACGTCCGGCCTGGGCATCACCGGCGACATGTTTAACCATTCAGCAGGCGGGCCTCGCCCTTCCGACAACAATGAGGATCCGTCGTATGGTTTCGCCGACCAAGGCTGGCACAGGTTCACCATGAACAATAACAACACAAACAGTTTCTCGACGGGACATTCGCAATCATATCACGATGCTGGCGCATCCTATGGCGACTCATCCGGCATGGATTGGGCGCCAACACCGTCGGCAGAATATGACATGCGATTCGATCAACACGACCCCATGTCTCAAGATGTCGAACTCGATACCATGAGCTCTTCGCATGGTGGAGGAGGTGGCGTTGGACGTCTGGTTGCGCATTTCGAGAACAAATCCTTTGCGCCCCCTCTACCTCCAAGACCATCGAATGTCGTAACAAGCCCAGTACATCAAGAGCCTCCCGTTTCCTCGCCGTTCGGAAACTTCAGTGTCACCTCGCCTATAGTTACAAGTCCGCTCGCCAGCCCTGCAGAGCCCAACTATGGACTCTTGAGTGGCCATTCAAGAGTCACCAGTCCGATCGTTAGCCCGCCGCCCGCCCTCGCTTTTGGCGGATTTCATGATATACCAGTCCACAGTCCAGGTGTTGGTTCATCGTCCGGTCCTTTCGGAAATATGAACAGTTTTATGGCCAACAACAATAGAGTGACGACCCCGATGGAGACAGCATCCATGGCTGGGCCTTCAATGATGCCAAATTCTGGTATGAACGCCAAAGTCACCTCACCCAGTCCAGTCACTCCAGGTGTGCCAGGTACACCTGGGTTTGCCATATGGCGACCACCCGTACCAATGACTTCTAAACCCTCTTTGGATCAACCACAAGGTAGCAGTACTTCCTCAAATCCTGGTGGTTATTTCGCAAAACCTCCGATCCCCTCTACACCTAAACCCGTGATGAATGCCGGAAGCCAACTGGTCTTGGATTTCAATACCAATTCCACCTTCAATGCTAAAGGCAAGGCCCCCGCGAAGCCGCCTGCCAAACCACCCAGGCCTGTTCGACAACCCTCCCGATCGTCAATGTCCACACCTGGACCTTTCAGTCCCCCTATTAAACATGAACCCTCCACACCACAACTGTCTCAAGCCTCTGCCTCTTCTATGTTGCCACCAGTATGTTTCGTGCAATTCAGGAAGAGAGAACATGTTGCTGACTCTCTCCAGAATGAACGAAGAGCTTCCGTATCTCAACGATCTCAAGCAGGAAGCCGCCCTTCAAGAGAACAAGTCCCTGCTGAAGCATGGGAATCGTTCAAGAACACAATTCGAACACTGTATCTTGAGGAAAGGAAACCACTCAAAGAGGTCATGTCTGTCATGGCCGACAAGTATGGCTTCCAGGCAACGTAAGTCCCTATTCGCCATCCACTGAGTTCCATAACTCATCCGTTGTAGACCAAAAATGTACAAGACTCGATTCTCTCAATGGGGTTTTGTGAAGAATAATACCGAGGAGGAAGTTAAGCGCCTGCTATCCATGAAGTTTCAGCGCGACGCCGAGGGCAAGGTGTCCGAGTTTGTTCGCAACGGCAAGGTTGTTAACCTGGGCACCTACTTGAAGAGAAAGGGCGTTACCGAGTATGACTTGGTCGATTTCGAATTACCTGCCGATTTGCCGGCACACATCAGATGTCGAACACCAACTCCGCCTCCAGCACCGGGGTATCTCCAATCACCAGATCTACTCCGGGCTCAAGAAATCATCATCAGCAACATGAGGAAAGCGTTCTTACAATGTCGACAATTTGAAGTTGAGACTGACGCCCAAGTTGGATGGCAAACTATCATGGTGTGGGGGGCGGGCTCAAGCGATCTTCTTCTCGAGGCTAACCACTATTTTGAGATGAAGGACCACGATCAGGGTGGTCATTTCCTGATGAAGGCTTTCCAACAGCTTGAATCAGATTTGAAGAAGCTATCTCCTCAGGGAATCAAGGAGTTGCTTCTGGGCATGGTTCATCGCGATCCAGGAATGATGACAGCACTCTGCAAGTATTTAGCGGCTTACTCGACGACCAACTTCGAGCGGTCACATCCCCTGCGGCAGATCTTCTCTTGCTTATATGAGGTGCAACAGAAGCATGGGCCAGGCACACTGTCAGAGCTGCTGTGGGGAAGCATTCCAACAATCGCGGAGGAGCTGGAGGCCATTTATGGCCGTAAGCATCCTTATGTGGCTCGAACATGGGTTGACCTGGCCATGTTTTATAACCATGTTAATCAGGAGCGACTCGAGAAATTGGTGGGAGAACTTCGACTGCTGCAGCGACAAATGGAGCAACGACTGGGCCCTGAAAGCGCCGATGTCCTCGTTCTGCGATATACAATTGTCCAGTTGATGTTCGCAGCACATCCTCAGTCTGATGCGACAAAGCAAGCGACGATCGACCTCTGGCACCATATGAGAGGCATGGGACTTCTATTCCCTATTCGTAGCCAGCAACCGAACATGTTCTGCTATCATAGCCCTGTCAAGGTCGATCCTTGGACGAAGCGCTGTCGACGTCGATACGAGTCTGGTGTTCAATTCCTCGAAGAGCACGTTGGGGTTCGCGTTATCATGTACTTCGAAGAGGACTTCCATACCACGGAGCATGCACCAGAGCATATTCCTCATCAGCAGCATCAACGCCAGCACCAGCAGAGCCATCAATATCAGCATCGGCAGTCGCAGCAGCAGCAGCGCCCACAACAGCTCCAAGCACAGGACTCGTGGGCGGCCGCGATGGAGCAGCACATGTCGAGCTCAAAATATTCGTTCATCTGAGCAGGATCTCAGATCCTTTATTGTTCTTGGTCATGCGTGTTACCAGCACCCAACGTATGTAATTCGACGAAGCCGATGTTTTCAACAAGTATGGGTGATGGAGGCGGCTTCAAGGACTGCACGATATACTATACGTGTTGCCAGTATGTGTACATATCTTGGCACACGATACCTATGGATTCGATTATGATCCCATTGATGAGTACACAGCCTGGAGTCTGGTACCGAGCAAGCATATCTTTTCTTTGTGGGTTTTAACGTCTCATGGACCGGCGTTTATTCTTGGGGTTTTGCGTTAGCCAGCACAGCACGATTTGGAGGAAGCGTGCGTGCTTGAACATTTTGGTTTTGGTTGATTATGATATGACACGCCCCATTGTATAATAGTAACTGACGCGCCGGGCATTGATGAGACGAGATGAGGTTGGATGATGGCGGAGTTTGGGGAGTCTTCAAAATGACGGCGCACCAAAGAGATGGAAGATGTTTGCATTGAGAAGGTGCAAGGCAGGCGCGAAGGTTTGGAACCTTGGTAAGGTAAGGTTGGAAGGAAGGACATGAACAAACCCCTCCACAACGAGGGAAGGATACCCTGGGCCAAAATTACATCTGTCGATACCTTGGTAGTGAAATCAGGTAATACAAATAGACATTTATCTACAAAACACATATAAATTGTACTTGTTTCCAATAACTGCTTTCCGCAACATTGCTATTTATGCCATACTTCACCAGTTTCGAGGTTCGAATGGCCGCCATAGCCATGATCTCTGATACTTATTTCCGAGTTATCCCCGGCGCAAAACGAAAACCTATGAAGATTCTCATCATGACAACCTCTCCACCGCTCAAGCCCCCATCATGCGCCTATCCCGCCCTTCAGCCCTCGCGGGTTTCCCTTCAACCCCCTTAAAACGTTTCTACTCTTCCTCGCGCACCATTCAAAGTAAGTCGATTCCTACCTTCGCCCTCCCGACGTCTCATCATGGATGCTAACCCCATGGTCCCCCAGAAAACGACGTCCTCTTCCTTCGCCAACAGGGTCTTAAGGCCCCCAAATGGCATCTTACATCCCCTCTTCGCGCCGATACGAAAATAAGACTTGGTTATGGTGCCTCTATCAATTCGTCCGAGCTCATTGGTCGTCAGGTGCTTGATGTTCTGACTGATACTTCGGGACGTCCTGTTACTCTTCATGAACCGACTCTGGCTTCATACATCATTAATAGCCCGCGACAGGCCACACCGGTACGATAAATTGTCAGTTGAATTCGAGAGCGATGTTACTAATATGTAACTGGCTCTCAGATCTATCCCCATCATGCAAATACCATTGTGTCCCTTCTCGATTTAAACCTTTCCCGACCTGGTGAAGAAGAAAATGGCGCAGATCCCGATCATCCAACCCCGCCGTTTGAGATATTCGAAGCTGGTACTGGAATGGGAAGCTTGACGCTACACCTCGCTCGAGCACTCCATGCAGCAAACCCAGCTGTACCTCCTAGCCTGCGAAACACCCTCTGTACGGCACGCTACAGGACCGACGGTTTTGGTCTCGATCTCGCCGAAGAGGACCAAGCTGCCCTCGACTCTTACCGGTCCAGTCGTCGCGCCGTGTTGCATACCCTCGATCGGAACGTTAAACACTCGCGCGCAGCACATAAACTAATAAGATACTTCCGTCGCTCTCTATACTTTCCTACTATAGACTTTCATGTCGGCTCCATAGACGAGTATATCTCATCCCGTTTGGCTGAGACGGATGACCAGCCTTTCCTCTCACATGCAATCCTCGACCTCCCTTCCGCTCACGACCACGCTTCTCAAGTTATTCAGGCCCTCCACCCCAACGGCCTTCTTGTCATCTTCACACCCTCCATTAGTCAAATCGCCGACTTCCAAGCTTGGGTTGCTCGCACAGGCCAGCCCATGCGCCCTGAAAGGGTCATTGAGCTTGAAGTTTCGACAACGGCTGACGGTGTTCTTGATACTGGTGGTGGCAAGGAGTGGGATGTCAAGACCGTTATTCCTAGAGAAAACCCTGAAGGCGCTGCAGTGCAGGTGATGCGACCCAAGGTAGGTGAGCGAGTCACTGGTGGTGGGTTTGTAGCTGTTTTGAGGCGATGGCCTGTTGATCAAATGCGCTCTCAAGTTGAGTCTTCCACGCAAGAGAGTACTTCTGAAGCTGAGGGTAACTCAGAGGTTGAAGAAACTACTCAAGCTGAGGATTCGGCGGAGACTGAGCCAACGAAAACTGAATGATATTCATGAATCTTATAACAATCTATAAATCTTGTACAACACAATCTGTATAGTAAACGTTTCGACCTATAGAGTCTAGACATATATCAACAAACAATAGACGAAGCAACGAATGTAATCAGAGTGGAAGAACAGTAATGCCGCTTGCTATCTCGTTCTGGCCCCCCAAAGCATGCATGAATGGGTATCTCTATGCAACATGCTCAAATATCAAGTCATATCTCCTCCTCACATTCAATCATCAAGATTTCATAATCATCCCGTCTTTCTTTTTTCCCATCCTTTGCACTTCATTTCCAAATTCCGCGGAGTGTGCAATGTCCAGCATTTCCCCCATATTAAGAACCAAAAAATGACCCGTAGCTTGAAATACCAGTGCATCCAGTGCGTGGTCTAGCCCGACCTGCGGCACCGAAGATTAATCAAACAAGTAAAAGAGAACTTATGCCTCTGCTGCAGAGGAACGAAATGAAATAAAGATTGGTTTCCGTGGTTCAATCTTGTGGTATAGCCTCTCTTTTCGAGGAATGGGCTTGCGCCGCATGGAATCTTCCAACCTGCAATGCTTTCCAATTAAACTTGCGTATATTGCGCAATGTTGTGACCAATAAGGAAAAGTAGAGGAAGAAAATAATATGTTGTGTCAAGTGTTTAGACACTGGTGATGCGCTCAAGAGGTGCTCGAGCGCAGCAGACCATGAGCTTCAGGCTTGTACCGAGCTCTTCAGACTCAGAAAGTAGAGATCTATCGCTCCAGATGCTCTTTCCAGAGGGGTTCTCAGCTGCGTTTTCGTAGCATCGTGTATACCACCATCGGCCAACGCGGCTGACCATCTTGGTGATGCCCTCGTCTGCCAAGGGGCTGTTGTCGCTCATCATCTCGGATAGACTTGGTGGATCCTTCTTCTCAGCAGTAGCCTTGCCCTTGTCGGCCTTGCTGTCTGAGCGAGTGACGGAACTTGCGACAGGCACACCCACTCGTGCTGCCTTGATGGTAGTGAAACCAACCTTGCCGAGGAGACGAACAATGAGATCCGCGGTTGATCCAAGACTGGTATCAGGCGTCTTCTCATTGATCCTCTCCTTGAGGCGGCGAACGGTGCGTCGGCCCCGGTTGCCCATGTTGTTCAGATCGACATCGAGAATGGAGAGCTCGATGAATCCTCCTGGCTTTAGCACACGGCGGGCTTCAGTAAGAATGCTGCGATAATATGCTTCAGGAGCTGCCACAGGGAAGCGGTACACAACAGCCGTAAAGCTCTGAGGAGCGAAGGGGAACTTGTCGAGGTGAGAGACATATTGGATCTGATGGTGGTTTGGGGGGCTGAGAGGGAAGCTCGAAGACGAGCTCTTGAGCTCTTCGGGAAGAGGAGCGCGAGGAGACAAGTTGAAGAAGGTAGCGGCCGGGTATGTTTCGGCAGCGTAGAATGACCAGTCATCGTTACCAAGGCCATCAATCACAAGGATTGAGTGTCTCTTCAGTGATCCCTCAACGGGAACCAGTTCATGGCGAACATCACTGAAGAGAACGTGCCCGAAGGTAAGCCACTTGCTCACCGTCATTGAACCAACTCTAAGGTTGACCTGTGCGAGTGGTGACCCATCTTCTGAAGAGGAGCTAGCATCAGACCGTCTTGTCTTGCGGGATGATCGGCTGCTTCGTCGAGATACCTCACCAGGTGCAGGTGCCTCAGTGTTGGTGTTACGGTCTTCGTAACCTGAAACAAACTTGGAGACTGAGAAGGGAGTGCTGGGGCTTGGGTGAGGTTGGAAAGCCGCCCGAAGACGTTCTGTCATATCAGCGCTGCAAGTACTGGAGATGGTTGTTGCCTTGGATTGTCGGCTTGCCTTCTTATCGAAGACAATCGTAGGCGACTCCAGGGGCTTCTCCTTGCTGGCCAGCTTCGACTCGTAAGTCTCAAGATGGAATGGTGTACCTCGTGAAGAAGTTGCCGAAGGGAGTGCTTTGCCGGCATCATCTCCAAGGAGATCATCATACTCATCCCAAACCTCATCTTCTACAGGAGGGTCATGAGGTTGTGGGATGACAGCAGTAGAGCCAGAGAAGGCAAGAATACCAGAACAGCTTGAGCTGGATGTACCAATGGTTCCTTCAGAGTCCTTGCGAGGCGAAAAGGCCAGGAACTCCTTTTCCACTCGGCTCAAAGTAGGAGGGTTGGAGTCTCTTGATGAGAGATTGTTGGTGCTTCCTGCTGTTGAGCCATCGGTAGTCAGATCCGGAACAGGAGTCGAAGGCCTAGAAGGTGAAGGACCTTTGGCAATCGACTCGGGGTCATAGACCTCCAGGTTTTCAGGTGCCAATTGCATGCTAGCTCTGAAAGGCCTAGAAAAGCTCATAGGCGACACATGTTCAGTACGGTTGCTCACAACTTTGGGGATTCTCCCGACTTGAGGAAGTCGGCTTCGCCGACCAGCAGTGGTGCTTGTTGACGGAAGCTGCAGCATAGGCTTCTTGGACATCAAAGTCTGCTGAGGTACAGGCAGCCGAGGCTTAGTCTTGATCTCAATGCTCTCCCGCCTTGGGGGTTGAGCTGGTTCTGCAGGCCGTACCGGAGAGTTGGTTGACGATCGCATCTCTGGTGTGCCTTGCGAAAGCTCGGGAGTACCACCAACACTAGGTGACTTTCCATAGACCTCGGCAAACCTCAACACATCTTGAATGTCCATCGGCTCGCTGTCCTCTTGTTCTGACGAATCCATCATGGCATAAAAGGCAAGGGGCTTCTTCTCCACTGGTTTGACTGTAGCAGAGACCTTCTCGCTCTGCTTAGGCTGCTGGGTCTGGGTTGACCTTCCAAACAAGTTCCACTTTCGAGGAGATCGCGGCCTCTTGATAAGCTTCTTGGGCGCAGGGTGAGAAGACTTGGCCTCGTGAGAAATCTCCCGCTGAAGTTCGAAGTGGGACTCATCAGACATGACACTGGTGTCGAAACTTGTCATGGGCGATGATGCATAGCCTGACGTGTTAATGGGCTGAGGTAGCTTCAGGGGGTCATCCGGCGAAGATCGAAGACGATGGACAGATCTTCGGAAAGCCAATGTCGACTTCATCGTAGGGCCTTCAGAATCACTGCTCTCGGAGGGACGACGAGCACCGAAAGCTGGGTGTGGAGTGCGTGACATAGGCGACGGCCACAAAGTGTTTCGAGCCTGATCTTGAGAAGCTGCCAATGACTGCGAGCTTCCGAACCTCGACTCCTCGGTCGCCAGACTTTGGGAGCTTACACTTCGAGAGATTTCAGAGCTTGCATTTCGATTCTCGATGATCGCACCTCCAGCGATGACCACTGGGTTGACACGATCTGCAAAGAAGGAATCGTTGCTGGAACGTGGTTCCTGAGTTGTCTGACTGCCAGGAGAATTGCGTGTCATGTTGCTGATGCTGCCGCTGCGTCTCTTGGCAGCACCAATGCGTCCATAACCTTCATGGCCTGTGCCAGCTACAGGACCCTTGCGAAGAGTCTTCTTTTCCTTCTCATTCTTCTCGGCTTGTGCTGCGTTGGCGTGCTTCTTACGACTAAAGAACGGGAAGCGTGAGAAAGAGGAGCTTGCCACATTAGGACTCGGTGTGCGTGTCATTCGAGATGGCTCGAGGCCCTTGCCCTTCTTCGATTCGGCTGTTGCCTTGGCTGCTGGTTGAGCGTACAACTCGCCTTTGATGGGGAGCTGTGAAGTCGATGCTGTTCGACCTCCATGAGTGTACTGTGGCTTCGGGGGCGACAAAGCTGCTGCAGCAGCAGATTCGCTTCCACGTCTTTCGGTTGTTGGGAGGGATTGAGTGGAAAGATTGCTGTGAATGACTGGCATGGGGTTGAACAATTGGGATTGCATGTCGGGGGTGCCATCTCTGCTGGGTCGTGAAGGGGGTACGGCTCTTGGGGAGGCGGAGGATTGGGCACTTCTCTCAGGGGAAGGGGATCGCAAAACAGGTCTTGATATCTTGCGCACTGACTTGGGCGAAGATGTCTCCTCACGAAAGTACTGTGATGATTTCCGTGGTGGAGGACTGGGTGGAGGAGGAGGCAGGTTCTTGGTCTTCTTCTTGATGGTGGCTTCTCGAACAGTAGAGTTCGATGACGACGAAGTCAGGGACTCTCTAACAGCTGCGAGGCCATGAGGATCAACGGTGATGGCATCAACTTCGTTAGGGAAACTTCCACCAGCTCTTCGTGTCACAGGAGGTCTGTTGAGGATGGGGCTTTGTAGTCGGTTCTTGTTCTGAGTGCGAAGAGGTGCAACAAGACCAGGAGACTGAGAAGCAATTGAGGTTGGCGTGGTGTCGCGACTATAGGACCCTGGTCCAGGTGACTCGGAGAACCTAGTAGATGGGCTTCCACTAGTTCCGGAAAATAGAAGGCTGGCTGGAGTTGGAGGTGGAAGATCGTGTGTCGCTAACCGGAACGGAACCTCAATGCGGTTATCCGAGCTGTCAGACGGACGCCGAATGTTGCGATAACGGTCCAGTTCGGGGTAGATCACTGGTGACTTGGAAGGTTTCTTTACCTCGACAGCCTCAGCAATTTGAATCTCGGCAGGGCTGCAGGTAAGTTCTCTATCCAGATGGAAGCCGAAAGTAGGGTCGAGTGAGCCTTGGCGCTTATGATGGGACGAAGAAGAAGAGTCCGTCCGAGATGAGCCAGTTCGTGTAGTCTTGACATCGCCGGATAAAGATGACTTCTTCCTACGCAGAACATTTGGGTTAGACCTTGGGTTATCCATAGACTGGGCCGATGATGATGATCCGGAACCTCCACGGTGGTTGGCAGTTGATCGTGTGGATGCTGAAGTAGAAGAAGAACCCCATGATTGAGCTTGATGATTAAGACTAGGTCGTGGCACGGGTTGAGGAATTGATGGTCGTCGAGTAGTAGAAGGTTGAGGGGCCCTTGCTGACGGACGTGAGATGGAAGAGGGCTTCGGTAATGGTCGTGGAATCTCTTCCCTCCTTCCTGATCTCTTGAGTGACTTTGGAGCATTGG